AAAGCTGATGGTTGACCATTAGCAGTTTTCTCTTCTGAACTCTCGGTCACCTTGTTTCACCCAGAGCTTTGTACCTTTGATTGTAATTACGTAGGCAGACACTTGAGCCAATCCCTGCTATGAGATACGGCATCCAACAGGGCAAGGGCCATCTTACTCTTTTAACCAGCCTTACAGACCCCTGGCCTATGCTTCAAATAGGCCTTCAAGAAACATTTGTAGTGCTGCTAGGTATTTAGTTTTAAGAAGTATCAGTGTAAGAATGTCTGAACCTGTAGAGAATTTTTATACTAACTTATTTGAGCCAAACAGACGATTCTTGGGAGCAAGATCACACAGTGAGAAAAAACGCTTTGAAGAGCAGTTTGCAGTTTCTTTTATGCATTTGAGTTTAAGGAGAGAAGTCTAAGGAAGATCACAGGAAGGTGGGAGAAAGCAAGGCAGGGATCAGATTACAGGCTAATTAAGATTCTGTATTCTCTTGAGGGGGGTCACCTTGGGAAAGAGAAGTCCTAAAGAGGGCATTTCAAAGGTGTGTTAACCTAGATGTACAGAAACAATGAACAGGGCTTGCTGGAGGCAAAGATAAGCCTTAAAGGAGATACCTGCCTGGGGTGTATCCACCATGACCTGCCCAGTTAGGAATTTATTATCAGATCACTTTAGAGATTACTTTCCACAGAATCTCCACAAAAGAAACCTCAGAATCCTCTTATTGTTAACATTTCTTTAAAAAAAAAGATTTTATTTATTTTGGGGGAGAAGGGAAGGGACGGAGAAAGAGAAGGTAAGAAACATTGATCAGTTGCTTCTTGCAAGTCCCCCAACTGGGGTCCTGGTCCCTGGCCTGAAACCCAGGCATATGCTCTGACCCGGAATCAAACTAGCGACCTTTCCATTTGTGGGATGATGCCCGACCAACTGAGCCACAGCAGTCAAGAGTTTGTTCATGTTTCTTGTTCATGAAACTGAGAGCTGGAAGCTTTCAAAACAGGGACAAAACCATTCTCTCCCTCTCTCCTTCCCTTCCCCTCTAAAGATAAATAAATAAAATCTTTAAAAAAAAAAAAAAACACGGGAAATATGATTCCAATCATGGTCTTTGGTCACTTTGATGACTCCTGTTGGTCAGTTCAACCTCTTCCTTCTCGAGGTAGCTCTTGACTTTGGTGAAGGCTTCCAGTGGCAAATACTTCAGGCTCAGATGTTAACCATACCATTGAATAATAAAAAATGCTTACTTTTCAGTGAGGTAGGAAAAAGCAGGATGACTTTTTTTGAAATATAAGAGTCTGGCAGGACCTCTGGCTGACAAGAAGATGGCATTTGAGAGATTGGAGAAAAGACTTTGGAACTGAGTGTCCCTAGGCTTATCAAGTGAATGGTTTCTACTAACAAATAGTCAAGAATAAGGGGATTTATTTTAAGAAAGTAGGGACACGCTATTAAGAGTCAACAGATGGCGTGCTTTCTCAGCAGCTTGTCTCTGCCTTTCCCTTCCCAATCTTGGTCCCCCCAGACACGTCACCTTTGCCTTTCTCCTAAACTCCAAGGACGCTTCTACCTCCTAAGTCATTTCCTGAGCCTACGCAGCCCACTTGGATCACTTCTACAATACTACCTCGAGAACACTCTAAATAAACTTTCTCTTACATCTTACAATTTGAAAGAAAAAAAAAGGATGGTCAATAGAACCCAGGTTTATTCTCTTGACTTGTACCACCCACTATTTTGAGGCTGTTCTCCTTGGGGAACAAAGTGTGTTTCTATAGAATCAGCTCAATGTTTCTTGATAAGTTACAAACTCCACAACAACCACTCCCAAACCAATAAAACAGGCCTGAACCCATTCTTGATTGGTAAGGAGCTGCAATTTCACAAAACAAAAGTGAAAAAGGCAAAAGTGGGTAGAGACCAAGATTTCATCCCGTGATTGTGTCAAATGGGTGTGGAATGGAGAATATGCAGAGTTTACACAACTGGGCTTTTAATTCCACTAAATATATACAAACTTTCAACATATTTAGAGCAGAGACAGTCAAATCTAAATATTTGATTACATCCACCGAAACCTGAAAAATTAGGGGTAGAAAACACTGGCTTTATCTTCTACATAGCTTGAAAAAAGATTTTTAGATGAGTTCATATTTTCTAAATCAAAGCAGCTGTAATTATCTAAACTCATTGTAACAAATAAATGGGTCGGATATTTTGTGAGTCTATGACTCAAATTGGAAAACTTTTCTTTTTGTCATTTAAAGAACACTTTAAAGAGGAACCAATAGGTCTCTGTGCTACACGGCTTTTGTTAGTAGCTTTTAATCCTTTTGTTATTAAAAGTGTGGCATCTTGAAATTAAATGGTAGATATTTGTGGCAACCAGTACAATACAGATAAATATCTTTGAAAGGTAAAATCCTTATTCAGTAAAATGAATTTTTTTAAGTTATGAACTGTGTAAATAAACTTTCATCTAATTATCTCTTTGTTTGATCAATAACATTTAAAAGACATGTATCACGTTGCAGTTGTTTAAATTCTAAGCTATAAATTCTAAGTTATTTGTATTTAATATCAGTAGCTATCCTTTTAGCAACTGAGACTGGAAATGAGAGGACATATTTCACAAATAATCAAGTTGTGTGGGATTCACAAGCTCAAAAGAAACCTTTGTGTAGGTGAAAATGATCTAGTATAACTTATTGTAGCCTGACTTCTACTTGCCTTGGGAAATTTGTAGGTTTTATGTCTGTATTTGTGACTGCCGCATCCAGCTTTTACAGAAAAAGAATTTTTTTGGAGACAAATCACCCAACTCACTTTTTCACAATATCGTTGGTGAGCTATAAGCATGATTTCCTCTGCTTTCTAGCTGTAGAAATAACATGGGGTTACGTGATTTATCTAAAGTCACCACAAGTGTGATGCGAGAAAAGATAAATGAAATTGGAACAAAAGACATTGAGTATAATCTTCATGTTTGATATTTACTTTGTATGCAAATATATCCCAGCTATTGGTTTGCTCTCATGAATTATGGAAAAGCAACTGTGCAACTGCAGGGTGTGGACGATCAACTGGCATCTGCTCGAGAGGGAGGTGATTTAAACCCAAGATTGTGGCACCAGGTCATGCACAGTGACTAAGGCTATGATTTCAGGTGCCTTGAAGTTTGCTTAGTTATTCAGCATCTAGAGCTCCTAAAATATATGATCTAACACCAAAACACCAGGTGAGAGATAGATGCTAGAGGCCTACAGTGATGTATTGCTTGAACATTCTCCCCTGTGGCTGGACGGCAGTGCACCTTGCTACTTAAGAGGCTGGTAGCACCAGCAATCCCTTGGAGGCTCGTTAGAAACACAGAATCTCTAGAAGTGATCTGCAGGGAATTGGATTCCCTGTGTGAAGCAGTTTAAAATGTCATTCAGTGTTCAGTACTCAGGGATATAGTGAGTACTATAGTTTTTTGGGGGGAAGGGCAGATGTGTAGATATTTTACAATATTTTGACATCATTTCACTTTTTTTTGCATTTTTATCTGATAGCATTGTTTCTTATAATAAAACACTTTTCTGATTGAAAAACAAAGCAATACAGAATCTTAGGTCCTAGACCTGCTGAATCAGAATGTGCACTTTAACAAGAGCCTCCCATTACACCCCCAAGTGACTCAAAGATAATTTAAAGTTTGGGAGGCACTGATCTAGCCCTAGATCCTAGGGCATCCTATAATTTTATTTGATTTCTGTAAATTATCCAATGATCCATGACACCTCTTTCCCTCTCTTCTACCCACTTCTCTTTTGTTCTCTGCATCTCCTCCTCCACCTGTTCTTTCTTTTCCTCCTTCCTCTCTTCTTCCTCTTCCTCCTCTTTTTTCTGTCTCTACACACACACACACACATACACACACACACACATGACTATCTGAATCATTTGTGAAAAGCTATATCCATCATCCCCCTTACATATACACACACACAACCTTTTTATATGGGAGAGCAGAGGATCACACAATATTTTCTCAAACTTGTGACTTCAGTTTTATGATTTTGGATATTATTTATACTGTTTATGTAATAAATTCAAAGTTCACCATATTAAAGAGCTTACCTTGTTCATAAATGTCACTCATTGTTAATTGGGGCTTTTTTTTTATGCCTGCTTCAATACTCCATCTTTGGGAATAAATTGCTACATTTTAACTAACATTCTAGTCATGTATGTGTAATTTTTTGATATGTCTGAAGGGAAAACTGATGAGGACTAACCACTGTTTGGATTTGAGTGTGGTATTTTTTTCTCCCAGATTTATTGGGATATAATCAACATATAACATCGTGTAAGTTTAAGGTGTTTGATGTGTTGACTTGATACATTTCTATATTGCAAAATGATTACCACCAACGCATTAGCTAACACTCCCACCCTACCACATAATTACCATTTCTTTCTTGTGGTGAGAACATTAAAGAGTTACTCTCTTAGCAACTTTCTTTTTTTTTTTTTTAAGAAAAGTTTTTAAATGACCTTTTAAACAGATAGGAAAAAAAAACCTTGAGGTACATTCTTTTCTGTTTGTTTCAAAGGATGTCTAGGAAAGGCCTAGACATGAAACATGCGTTTCATCTTCTGGATTTTTTCCACCCTCAAAGATAAGCAAAGTATCCACATTCTCTTACCTATTTGAAAATACTAGGTAGTATGCCCAGAGGAATTTTAAAAGCATGCTTGAAGGTATCATCAAAGCTAGGTTAAATTTAAATTTATATACATACTATATACTGTGTAAAAATACCACAAAGTGCTCAAAGGAAATTTTTTTCCTTTCCTTTGAGCAGTGAGGTTCAACAGTGACTCCAGAAATAATCCAAAGAGGAGTTTTACACAATCTCTTTTCTGGGTGTTACGGAGACTTTACCCTTCTGTGTTAGCCTCTTAAGGCACTGCGGCAACCTTACAAGGGCACAGAACAGGGCTTTCAAGCACAGTCATACCTCGGTACTCATCAGCTTCAGAATTTGTCGAACCCTGTACTCGTTGCATTTTTAAGCACTAGGTTCTTGCCCAGGACTGGTCACTGTACTTGCTAGAACTTGTGTGAGTCATGATGGATGCTGCCCAGCGAGAGAAAGTGCTTCATCTTCAGGTGAGGCGGAGGGAAAGGAGAAAGTCTGCTGCACTGATCAAAGAAATGTGAGGGAAATGGGGTGAAGTTCGGAACTTTGTGGAAAAGCTTCACCCAAACAAAGTTCTAGGAAGCCGAAACACGGACCTGTTAATGAATAATGCCACGCTTTAGAAACATTTTGAAACATAGACAGAAACGAGTTTATCTAGATAGGCTTTTAGTGAAACTCCCCAAATCTGAGTCTCCAACAGTGTTCAGTGAAGCCAAGAGACAGAAAACAGAAGAAATCCCTGAGAACTCACCTGAAATTGTCTTGGAAGAGGACTCCTCTTCCAACAGTGAACCCATCTCCTCCCCTCCCCCTCCTCCCCCTCCTCCTCCTCCCCCTCCTCCCCCTCCCCCTCCTCCCCCTCCCCTCCTCCCTCTCCCCCTCCTCCACCTCCTCTTCCTCCCCCTCCCCCTCCTCCCCCTCCTTCTCCTCCACCTCACCAAGCATCCCACTATGCCAGGAACCCCTGTCAGTATAAATAAAGTGAAGTTAAATTTTATTTTATTCTTATATAATCAATTACTTTTTAAAAAAGATCTTATTTATTTATTTTTAGAGAGAGGGAAAGGGAGAAAGAGAGAGAGAAACATCAGTGTGTGGTTGCCTCTCACGTGGCCCCCACTGGGGACCTGGCCCGAAACCCAGGCATGTGCCTGACTGGGAGTCAAACTGGCAACCCCTTGGTTCGTAGCCAGTGCTCAGTCCACTGAGCTACATCAGCCAGGAAATAATTACTTTTTAATCCATGTCTGTTTAGTTTTAAAGTTTTGTATTACAAAACAACCTCATTACTTAGTATTATCCCAGTAAAATGTGAACGTTCAGGGAACTTTCATGAATTATTTCTAATTGCACTGTTTTTTATGGGAAAAATTTGTTCAGTACTCGGTTTCAGCACTTGTCAGGAGTTCTAGAATGAATTACCACGAGTACCAAGGTCCACTCTGTAGTACACGCTATATAATATTATTAGCTATGTGATGTGGACACCAGCCCTCAGTGTCCAAGGTGTTATGGATGAAATGAGATACATTCACATGGACTACCGAGTCCTGGGGAAGAAAAGGGATGGTGCAGCCACTCTCTCTAGGGGAGACCACCTGGTCCCTTGCGTTGACAGGCTTTTATTGGGTTCAGTTTGCACAAGAACAAAGCCCATCAATCATTGTCAGGCAGAAATGATTAAACAATAGATAACATTCAAAGAACTCTGAGGGCTTATTCTGAGTCAGGGTCAGATAGTTAAAGGGCCAGAAAACTTTGGGGAACAAACTCATTTCAGGCTTGGACCCTTATCACTTAAATTGAGAGTATTAGCAAAGTAGGCTCCACAGGATTTTATGCATTCTTTCTTAGGCCTGATCACCCTAGGGAACCTGCCCTTTCCAGCACAGGGCAGCACCCACCAATAGCATTGTTTCAGGCTTAAGGCATTGTTCCAGGCTTAAATCAGGCAAGGGACGTAAGGCAGCCAAGAGATTAGGAGACTTCTCGAAGACAGAATGAGCACTCAGGCTATGTCAAAGCCGAGGGGCGAGGGTCCATCACCCCCTTTTTCTGTAGCCCCCAAGTCCTTCCCTGGGGGCCCCATGATCATGCCTGTCTTAGGTCGTTCCTCCCTTGAGGAATCTTACCCGTCATTGACTGACCGATCAAGCATTGGGGGCTAGGCAGGATGAAGTAAAAGGAGTAGAGGTGGTGTCCCTGCCAGAGAGATAAGCTTTGTCTCCTTAGTGGCTTAAGGTCTGAAGGTTGCTCACTCAGCTTTAGCCATGGGGGCAGTTACAGCTTCTGAAACCAGGCAGGGCAGTTCCCGACAGCTATGATCACCATGCTGTACATTAGATCCCCACGGACAGAAGACACTGTAAGTGCACCCTTTCACCATTTCTCTTCATTTTCCATACCCTCCAGACCCCCGTAATCACCACTCCAATCTCTGTTTCTGAGTTCAAGCACCTCCCACCCGTTAAAAGTTCAATGTATTATTTCCTAAGAACAAAGATCTTCTCTCATGTAATCGCAGTGCAGTTAACAAATTCAGAACCCTAACATTGTTATGTAATCTTATCTAATCTGCAGTCCATATTCAACTTCCAGCATTTGTCACCACAAGTCCTTTCTAGAAATTTTTTTCTGATACAGGATCCAGTCCAGGAGCAGGCGGTATCGAACTACTGTGCCTCTTCCGGCTCCTTTCACTGGAACACTTCCTCAGTCTTTCTTTGTCTTACTACAGCAACAGAGTGGAGTGACATTTCTGAAGAGTAGAGACCAATCACTATTTTTTCATTCTTAGGTTTAGATTATATATATTTATATATATTTTCCTAGTTTCTATCATATGTTTTACTCTACAGCGCTTTCTAATGGGCTTAAGGTCTCCATTTCAATATAGTCAAATTCATTAATAGTTTCTCGTATGTTGAGTACTTTTGTTTTCTTATTTATTTACACATCAATATGCATTTATTTATTTATTTAATCCTCACCCGAGGATGTGTTTATTAATTTGGAAGAGAGAGAGACAAACAGACAGAGAAACATCAGTGTGAAAAAGAAACACATACCAATTGCCTGTGGTACAGGCCCTGACCAGGGATCGACCCTCTAACCTAGGTCTGTGCTCTGACCAGGGATAAAATCCACAGAGTTTTCACAAACAAGATGATGCCCCAACCAACAGAACCATTAGTGGCTAGGGTACATTTTATTTATCTTTTTAATTGAATTTATTGGGGTGACATTGGTTTGCAAATCCATACAGGTCTCAAGTGTACAACTAAATAAAAAGTCATCTGCACACTGTTACATCCCGTCCTTGTGAGCAAGAAGGGTTGGAGACTGCTGGGTAATCAGAGGTGTTTTATTGGCCAAAGTTTCAAAGTTTTACCTGCGCAGGGGCGAACTCTCGGGGTGCCTCCGGAGACACACGACTGCCACAATGGCTGCAAATGAGAGTCACACCTAACGCTTACAGTCTAGGATTCTTATAGAGGCGAGCAAGCAAGCAACTTCCAGAACAGAAGGTGGCAGTTAGCTATTGGCTCAGGGGCTATACTAAGGTGCGTGATCTGACCAAGGACTGGTTACTAGAGCTCGTGGACAGCTCGTGATAGTATGGCTGCTTGGCTCTTAAACCTCATGCTGTGGTTGTGGTCTTTTTACGCCCCCCCCCCCTCCGCTTGGCATTCCAGGAGCTGACTTAACACAATCAGCTCTGTACCTCCTTTAAGTGCACCCTGTCCTTATGGTCGAGCGAGCAGCTAAAATTGAGAACAATCACTTCCTCATTTCCCTGGCTCCTTCACACACTAAATTGTGCACCCATCATCCTAAGCAAGTTCTCTTTCCATCCCCATTTCTCCCCTCTTTGCCCACCTCCACCTATCTATCCCCCACCTTCCTTTCCCTATGGCTATCACCACTCTGCTGTCCACGTCTACACGTTATGTATATGTGGTTTTTTAGCTAATCCCTTCACCTTCTTTCATCCAGCTCCCCAGCCTCCTCCCCTCCGACAGCTGTCAGTCTATTCCATGTATCTATGCCTTTGTTTCTGTTTTGTTTGTTAGTTTATCTTCTTCATTCAATAAAAGTGCATCCTGAGGCCATAAAGATTCTACCCTGTATTTTCTTCTAATGCTTATAAAATTTTCCTTTCACATTTAAGTTCTTCATCTCTGCGGAATTTACTTTGTGTATGACGAAGGAGGAATCCAACTACATATGCCACATTTACAAAATTGTGAAAATCAGAATTTCTTTGCCAACGACATACTATATTCCTTAAGAAGAAAGAGATGTAGTACAGTGAATTATGTGCATTCAAAAGCTTTGGGAAGATTGGAGATAGGCTCTAGACTGGGCTTCAAAGAACGATTCTTGAGAAACCAACGTGTTAACATTGAAACAGCTCCAGATGTTAGACCTCGGTCCTTGAATTTTGGCTAAAAAGAATTCAGAATCAAGACTCAAATACTGGCAAAAGTTCATTTAGAAAGTCCCAGAGGTAGAAGAAGTGAGCCTGCTGGTCTGTTTGAGATCAGGAAACAAGTTAACAAAGGCTAAAAGCAGGGCCCTTGGAGTTTAGAAGAAAGGAAGCAAAGGTATGTGCCTTGAGGGAAGAAATGGGGAGGAGGAAAGGCGAAGGTGGGCTCAAGAGAGACAGCATGCCCAAAGGCGTGGGAGTGTGTGTGTGAGAGAGAAAGAGAGAGAGAGAGAGAGACCACGCCACCTAGATTATATGTTTTTTACTTAACCCAGGTGTTATTGTGCCCCTTTGCCTGTGTTTTTTCTAAACTATAGTTGGTGAATTTTAGAAGGCTCATGCAAGAAATGTTTTGATAGGATTGATACTAAGGACTCCAAGACCAAATTTCAAATTCTCAACTCCAATAAACTATAGGGTAAACTATGTTTACAGCCAGGTTAGAAGACCCAAAAGCTCTCTGCAACAGTAAAAACTGTCTGCCCTTCAGGTATCAGCATGGACTTGGGAATTGTAGAAAACTCGTGGGGCTGGACTCTCAACGGCCAGGACCCAGCAAGGCCATGCTGGGCGGAGGACTCTTCAGAGTCTTGGGGAAGGGAATATGAGTATTTTCCAGAAAGGACAGGCCTAATATTAGTTAATGTCCTTTGGGTTACAGATAACAAAAGGGTGTCTCCCCTTACCTTGTAAGAAAGGGAATGTATTGAAATATAGTAATCGTGACACTGAGAGTCTGCTGGGAGCAGAAGGGTGGGGAACACAGATCTCTGGCTCAGAGGTTGCTTTGGAGAACTACAGACTAAAATAATGAGAAGGAGAAATCCGGTTGTTCCAAGCTGACACTGTTTTTCACATGTGGACCAAATAGCTACAGGCTGGGTCTCTTAGCACAGAGCTGGCCAGCTCTTACCCACCCTTAGAGATGAGCACAGTTTCTGAGCCATGAAGAATTGTCAGGAGCCCCATAGACACCGCAAGGGAGGCCTGAAGGAACTCTCAGCCTGTGAAAAGGTATAAAAGGAGGCATTTGAGAGGAAAGAAGCTGATGTGGAATAAAAAAAAAAAAAGCTGAATCTCCACCTCAGCAGAGCTTATGGGTGTGATGTGCCTGAAACTCAGGGCCTTCTGTGTGCTTAGGTTAGTGGTTACCAGACTGAGAAACTGTGATCCAACAAAGTAAGTTTTTAAAAATTTGGGCCTGGACATTGGATTGCCAGGCTTTAATTTTGCCAAACAGAACATTATAAAATAAAACAAATTCCTGTTATTTCAGTTTTAATGAATATTTT